TTAAATTTTATCCTGCTTGTCTTCTGGTTATTATAAAACTAACCCTAGCACTGATCCCTGGGGCTCTCTGCCACTTACACTCTTCCATCTAGAGAAGGGCTTGCTTATTCCTGTCTTTATTTTGTTTTATTTTTGTTTTATGAAACAGGGTCTTGCTCTGTCACCAAGCCTGGAGTGCAGTGGTACGAGCATGGCTCACTGCAGCCTCAACCTCCTGGCTCAAATGATCCTCCCACCCCAGCCTCCTGAGTAGCTGGAACTACAGGTGCGAGCCACACACCCAGCTAATTTAAAGTATATATTTTTTATAGAGATGAGGTCTCCCTATGTTGCCCTATGTTGCCCAGGCTAGCCTCAAATTCTTGGCCAGAGCCTTAAGCAGTTTAGGCCAGAGCCTTAAGGCCAGAGCCTTAAGCAGTCCTCCAGCCTTGGCCTCCTGAAGTGCTGGGATTACAGGCATGAGCCACCACACCCAGCCTATTCTTGTCTTTAATATCCATCCCCAAAACAGCTTCCCATTCCCAATGAATAAACATTGCCTTTGATGCAGTGGAAACTCACGTTTTTAAACAGTTTTACATCTGAAATCATGTTAAAAATTTTAAATGACAAATCACATCCATCAATATTTCCTTTCACTCCTAGTTTCAAATCAACCTTAAAATGCTTATGAAACCTTTGGTTTTCATCTCAGTGCATTATTTTTAGTGAAGCATTCCATGATCCTTGTGATCAGTCAGCATCTTTATTAAATACCCTACTCTGCACCTCAAGTAGAGTTATCGATCCCTCCAGCTTGCCACTGTGAATTAAATCACTGATTAATGGAAATGCTCAGGGTCCCTGCCACAGAACATGGTGTGCGTGATACTCTGTGAAAATCCATCATGACAGATCATGCAAGTATAGTGGTAGAATTTGTTTTTGCTAGAAAACTCCACTGCTAAAACTCATTAAAAGAATGACTATCTTTTAATTCAGATTGAGAGAGAAGTATCACTTCTCCTAATGTCTTTAGTACCTAATACATTGGTAAATAAATGATTGCTGTGAACTAAATTACATTTGCCCCTACCCACCTCGAGATATGTCAGCAAACTGTCTAGAAGCACCCCAGGAGGATGGCAACCCCCTAACATTACTTTTCCTAGCAGCTAGGACTGAGATCCTTTGTTATAGAGCAGCTCTGTACCAGAAGTATCCTGAACCCTACTCCTCACCTTACTTCCGAGTGAGACGCCTGGCCCCTTTGCCCCAAAGCCATTTTTCTTGCCCATCTCCTTTCCCCCTGACAGGTTCCCCACTGACATTAGTTAGAATGGAAGAGGGTTTGAGTTATCACAATTCTGGCCAGCTTTTAAAGGTGTAAAGAAATATGTGAATATGCCAAGTGTGGTGGCTCACACCTGTAATCCCAGCACTTTAGCAGGTCTAGGCAAGCAGATCACTTGAGCCCAGGAGTTCAAGGCCAGCTGGCAACATGGCAAGATCCCATCTCTACAAAAAATACAAAGATCAGCCGAGAGCAGTGGCATGCATCTGCAGTCCCAGATACACGGGAGGCTGAGGTGGGAGGATCACCTGAGCCCAGCGAATTGAAGCTGCAGTAAGCCGTGATTGCACCACTGCACTCAAGCTTGGGCAACAGAGTGAGACCCTGTCTCAAAGAAATATATGAATATATATTCATAACATATATGGATTTTATAAAATTTTATAAATGAATATATACATTTTCCTATGTAAGATATATGAAGTTTATAAAATACTTGAAATATATCTTTATGACATATATGAATAGTATATATGCCCTTGAGCAGATCATTCTTACTCAAAAGCCGTATTTGGTTCTTAAGAGAGAGTACTTGTGGAAGGATGCCCCACAAGAATTGAGGAAAATACTTGTTCATGGATAGGAAACTTGCTTTGGAACAGGAAACAAAGGATACAGATCCATGTGAGTACAGGTCGGGGAGGACAGGGGTGAATATCCGAATGGGAACAGAGGAAGTTATCTGCAGTTTCTCAGGTCATTCTGAGATGTCCTTCCACCCCCAGAAGAGAATCTCTACTCCAGAGGCTAAGAAGCTCTGCTGCCTATACAGCTACTGCCTTACCCTCCTAATACTCCAGAAGACATTTCATGTTTGTTCATAGCCGTATGGGAGCTGTCTTTTCATAGAATGTTCATCTTTTTTTTAAATAAGGAGTTTTTGGTAATTTTGGTGTTTGATCCGTTCATTTTCCCTCCAGATCTTGAGTTCATCATTGCTCTTAGTTTGGCCTGAAGGAAAAGTAACATTCCCAAGCCCCTATTGTTCACACAGGAAGAGATGTATCCCTTTTAATTTAAAAGTTACTTATTTTAACATAATTAATAAGTATCAAGAAAAGATAAGGTTCTGGCTTCCATAAGCTGTGTGGACTGCAGATTCTTGCCAAGGTCCCAACCCCTCCCTGTACACATTCTGTACTGGAGCAAAGTGTGCGGTCTTCAAAAGTCTTACATCAGTCTTCAAACTTCAGAAGGTAACTGAAGGCAGGGAATTCAGAAGCTGGTGCTCCTATCCTGACTGGACACACGGATCCATAATCCCTAACCCCAGTACTTCAGTTTCAGTTTATAGTTTCTACCAGTCCCGATGTCCCCTGAACATTTCATGACTTGTCATCCAATGCATATGGCACAGTTATCCCTGTGATTGCCAACAATTAGAATGGGCAGGTGGAGGGGAAATGAAATCTGCTACTGGCTCGATTCTGGGGTTAGCCATTGCCATTATGACTTGTTAGTACATGCAGGCCTGGAAGGTGACAGGTTAAGGTTGCCAAGGAAAAGGGAGCTCTGGAGATAACATCCTGTTCTTTATCCTTTGCCAGGACTTCTACTTAAATTCTCTCTGGATTAAGAACCACAATTGTTTCCCTAGTTACAGAAAGGCTGTTGGTGTTAGGCAAGAACAGGAAGATGGGTGTGGCGGCCCAGGCACTTAGAACAGTAGGTGTTAGGTGTGTGTGTGCACATGTGACTGGGGGGGCAGCATGTGCACATGTGTGTGACTGTACTCTTGTGGAGACTCATTATGCCTAGTAGCCTCCCCTTCCCTTGGCAAAATAGCAGAAAAGCATCATCATACTGTATAATATTTCTGTATAAATATTTTACAAATAATATTTTCAGTGTATTCTGCAATGCCTTGTGAGACACTTAGGACAGGCATCTTCATTTTTTCCATAAAAAAGGAAGGTTTAATAACTTAAAAAATACATAAATATTCAAATCAGAAATGCTTTAGAATGTGTTCAACAAAGTCAATAATTCTCACTCAGCAGAGAAAGTAAACTATTTTGACTGGGCACTGTGGCTCATGGCTGTAATCCCAGCACTTTGGGAGGCCGATGGGGGCAGATCACTTGAGGCCAGGAGTTCAAGACCATCCTGGCCAACACGAAGAAACCCTGTCTCTACTAAAAATACAAAAATTAGCTAGGCGTGGTGGTGCTCCCCTGTAGTCCCAGCTATTCGGAAGACTGAGACACAAGAACCACTTTAACCCAGGAGGCAGAAGTTGCAGTGAGCTGAGATTGCACCACTGCATTCCAGCCATGGCAACAGAGTGAGACCCTTCTCAAAAAAGAAAAAAGAAAGTAAACTATTCAATAGGGCAAAAAAAGCAAAGTCTTAAAACGCAATGGAAAGGTTGGATTTACATTAGCATTGTTTTACAATTTGAGAAGACAAACTGACCTGCTAACAATGTTCAAGCAGTTGGTATTACTGAGACTACAGGTGATTTGTTGAGCATTGAACAAGTTATGAAGCTTGCACATATATGTGTACTGCTGCAATGAAATGAAATGAATGGCAAAATTAGTTTAGCACTCATTTGACGCATAGGCATTATTTGGCTACGTTGTAAAGCATAATAATAAGCATATAACATAAGGGGCTGCCAATTTGGTTGGAGAGAGTGACAATCTGAGACAAACTGTAGAAGATTAAGTATTTGGGGCCAATTAAGTATATCTCAAAAATAAATCCAAGATATTAAGTATGAATTCATAAGGATCAAAATGAGGTCAGAGGCAGATTTCAGGGGCAAAGATAAGAAGATTGGTCTTCAAAAATTTATATATGAAATTATGCAAGGACTTTAGGAGGCTGGAATATCTAGGAAGTATGCGAAATGGCTTAATGAGAAAAACACAGGACCAGAGATCAAGAGATTGTGCATTCAGCCTCAACTGTCTCTCAGTAGTTGTGTGACTTTGTGCAAATCGTTTACTCCCCCTCTCCAAATTATAATCCCCTCATCTTTGAGGCAAAGGTCTTCATAAGTGGTACTCTTTATCAGACAAATGTAAAAATGCCTGCAGCAGAAATCATTAAATGTGTAGAACTGCTGCTGATGATGATTTGTTTTTATTAATGATCTGTTGTAATTGATAAATTGTTCTATTTGATAATTTTCATAACAAAATAACAGATTTAAAATTTTTTTGTTGTTGTTTAGAGACAGGGTCTTACTCCATAGCCCAGGCTGGAATGCAGGCGTGCCATCATAGCTCACTGAAGCCTCAAACTCCTGAGCTCGAGCGATCTTCCCACCTCAACCACCAGAATAGCTAGGACTACTGGTGCGTGCCACCACACACAGCTAATTTTTTTATCTTTTGTAGAGATGGGGGGGGTCTTGCTATGTTTACCAGGCTAGTCTTGAATTCCTGGCCTTGAGCAGTCCTCCCATCTCAGCCTCCCAAAGCACTAGGATTACAGGCATGAGCCACTGTGCCTGACCTAGATTTTTTTAAATAAGAACTTAAGGTACAAATACACCACAATTTATTTTTTTTGTTAGTAATGGTGTGACTTATCAGTCTGATTTTTTTAATTGTAAATTTATAAAATTATTCATTATAAAACGTTTTGGTTTTCCTAATAATGTGTTTTCCAGTTTTAAGACTAACTTATTTCTATTTTTATTTTTCAAATTCCTTAGCACTCCCGATTTGGAAAAACAACCAAATGAAAATGGAGTATCTGTTCAGAATGAAAATTTTGAAGAAATTATAAACTTACCCATTGGATCTAAACCATCCAAATTAGATGTCACCAATAGTGAGAGCCCAGAAATTCCTTTGAATCCAATTTTGGCCTTTGATGATGAAGGGACACTTGGGCCCCTGCCTCAGGTAGATGGTGTTCAGACACAACAGACTGCAGGTAAGCTTGCCTCCAACTCCCTTCTGTAGTCATCAGAAATATCTGACACCCGGGAGGACACAAACTGCGACCTTCTACAGTATGATTGTGGTAACACTTTGTTCTTCAAAGGACCAAGTAAGCCACAGTGGAAAAGATTGTGCCTGGCTCATAGAAATTGAATTTTGAGTTGGATTGGACAACTTCTAAGGCCTCTCCTATTCTCTCAGTCAGTGCAGAAATCCCGTCTGCAGCACCCAGTGGGTGTCCATCAGCCTCTCTGCACAGAGCAGCACCCATTACCCAACAGCATGCATGGTCAGAATATGCTTTGTAGAAAGACAAGGCTGCCTCCCCATACTTATGGACCATTCCGGCCTAGTGCTGCCCACTAGAGAAAGATTTGAGTTTTTTCCATCTTTCTCAGGTCTTCATATATTTGAACACTACCACCATTTTTCTCTTATTTGGGTTTGGCAACCTGAGTAATAAATTATTGTCGTTTTAAAATGTGACATGATGAGTAGTTACAATTTAGGTGATGAAACCAGTACTCTGAATAGGATCACACTGAGTCTAAGGATCTTTCCTTGTTAAATGATTTGTTGCTGTTGAAACTGCCTGTGACTTTCTTATACAATGTCTCTTTGACCCACACTTGACCTGAAGTCTTTGTGCAAAAAGAACAATCAGGACCCAAAGAAAGAAGGAGTAATATCAAATATCACTAACTCAATGGTCATAGCAGCTCAGCAGCACAGTCCCATCAGTCTCAGGAATTAGCAGGATAATCTCCACTCCCTGTCTCTTCAAACCTGTTTCAATTTTGTTGACTTCTCTTCCCTGAAGATGACTTTCATGTATTGACCAGCATCTCGTTATATTTCTACGAAAAGAACTGGCCAAATTCAGGATAACTAAAGGGAGACAATATAGAATTATTTGTGGGCAAATTGTTTTGCCTTCTAGATTCAATCAGTGAATCTGTAATAAATCAACTTTTAATGCAGTGAGGTAACCAATGTGAACCACCCATCCAAATGAAGCTACTCTTCTTTTCTCCTCTAGTGTACTGTCCTTAGAAGTGGAACCTCACTTTAGTGAACTCCACTTTTCTAGGATTTGAAAGGAGGTTGTAAGGGCCCTCCCCAGTCTGACTTTCTGATTCTTAAGCCTTTGGGAACAATCCGGCTAATGGTATGTTGCTGGAAACATGCCCAGTACAGCTTCCTACTCATGTTACAGATTTACAGGGAGGGAAAGAACTTCTAGATGATTTATCGACATTGATTTTAACCTCCAACATATGTTTAGAACCCTAAGCATCGGGTACTGAGGATACAAGAGAAATGAATGTTTAAATCCCTAACCGAGAAAAGTACAATCTGTGTATGCCACTTGGAAAAATGAAGGCTATGACCTAAGCTGATGTAAAGAAAAGAACATGTGTTTCCTATGAGTAACAGAATTCACTTAAGACTGTGAATCCTAACAAAATTGCCTATTCTTATATGAGTGTATATAACAGTATAGTAAATTTTAGAAATTTAAGGTATTGCTATAGCATTCTTGAAATAAGATTTTAGATAAATGTCATATTAATCTGTTCTTTTTCTGTCTCTTCATATAGAAGTTATATGAGTATTTCTTCTGAAGAACCAAAGCTGAAATTTAATGAGAATTTCTACAATTAATGGAATTCCTTTCATGCTATAAAGGAGCATCCCCTCCGCCAGTTTTCTAAAGAGTTCTTGACCATCATTTTGAAAAGATTTATTAAAACTAGCTAAAGACAACAGACTGGATAGCTTTTCTAATCATTTTCATCAATAGGAAAAAAGAAATATGTCTCATTCTTCAATACTTTAAAATGGCTTTTTCCAGTGTGCTCCTTCTTAGCAATCAATATTTTTCTGCATTCTTTAAAAGACAAGAGAATTTGGTTATAAAAGAAATGGGCTGACTAGGCATGTTTTTTTGGTCTTAAAAGCTTAACATGTAAAATTGGCACAAAAAATTTTACCTTTTATAATACTTGAAAAATAAGTACCTCTTTGCTCTACAAGTAGAATGAATAGGGGAAGAGTTTAAACCTGTTTGTTAAAATATTATTGCAAAGAGCTCTATTTGTAGAAGCAAATTATAGGCAGATTACCAGGTTCTCATAAATACAACTTGTACATGGACATTCTGCAAACCCAGCTGTCACGTTTTTCTTGCAACTCCTTTTGCAAAAGCAGACTAAAATGTTTTAAAATGTGAAAAAACATTATTTTTTCAAAGCAAGAAAATAATTTACTACCCTCTTACATAATGTATTTATAAAGTTTTTCCAGATAAACTAATCAAATAAATTAGAACAATGTGACAACATTACAAATTTAATTTGTTAGCTGCATTCCTTCTGATGTTACCACGAGAGAATGTTACTGATGATTCAGGGCTATTTCTGAAGTCTGTGTGTTGCTGCTGTCCCCAGTGATGGTGGACTTCTCTTTGCCTTACCTGATCACAAATTATGTTGGGGAAAATAAAGATTTAATATTTCTTTCAATAGAAAAAGAATTTGGTTTTGCTCGTTTAAGAGCAATGAGAAAATGATGGAATGTTGACTGTGGCACACAGGACACGGACCTTCATGGAAGTCCTTGCTCTGCGTGGCATCTGTCAGCTTTTCACCTTTCATTCTTCTTCTTCACTTTTGCTGCTGAGCCTAGCTGTACAAACTTGCACTTTCATTTGCTAATATAAATTCAATTTTATTTTACCATTTTAGAGACTACTAAAGATTAAATGTAGAAGGAGAGGGTGCACATGTTTTTATGTGGAGTGTTAAAAAAGATAAATTTATACCACGGTAACGTGCAGCTTTTATGAAGAGAGAAATTGGTTAAACTGCTAGGTTGAATGAGAGACTTCATCTATTGGACTATTTGTTTTAATCCAGGCATATGGTCTTTAGTAACAGCTTGTAATTTGTTAAAACATTAATTTGGGGGTTTTCCCTATTTTCAGTTGTCCATGTACACAGTCATTATATTAAAAAAGAAATCTGTTCAACAAAGTTGTTTAATTTGTTTAAATCAACATAGCATGAAACACCAAATAAAATGTTTGACATAGTTTTACTTTTAGGTTTCTCATATGTTATAACTTCACTCAGATTGATTCTTGAGTCTTCAGATTGTCCTTCATTTAACTCAGTGATATTTTCCCAGCCTCCTGTTGATTAAGCATATAGAATAGCTTTATTTAAAATTTAGAGCGGTAGGTCTATTTTGGCTGTTTTTCTTTTTCATGTATGTCTTTAAACTTTGGTGATCATTAGCAAACTGAAAGCCTTCTAAGTCATCAAGTTTTTATTAGAAGTGGTACAAAATTCTTAATTATATTGTGTTAAGAGCAGTGCTGCCAGAGAATGACCCTGATCTTTACAATGGCTGGCTTGCTTTTTGGTCAGCACTTGAAAAATCTGTATTTACTTGCAGACCTTAAGGAGGTCTTCAGTATTCACACTACATTAAGGGGAGCGCTCAGGAATCAAATATGGCCCTCAGTATGAAAATAGGGTGAATGGGCTTTTAGTTTCCTTTCTACACCATTGCAAACTAGGCCAAATTTAGTGAGTCACCAGTCACGGGTGTGTTTGGCGGTACCTCTAGCTATTACAGGAAGGTAAGGCTATATGTGTCCTCCTACATAACCACACCACCTCGTGGTGTGTTACAGTAAAAGCAAATCTAAAACAGTTATCTTACATGACAAGTTTATTAGCAAGCAGGGCTTCTGGAAAGCTTGGGGAAGTTCCTTCTCTGCTCACAAGTAACCCCACAAACACCTTGACTAAAAAGTTCACAGTAAAGAAGAAGCAGTGATATTCTGAAAGCAGAATTAAGAAACCTGATTGCCTGGTTGGACCAGGTCACAGTCATAAACATGTGTGGAGTGCTGGAGCGGGAAGGTACAGGGGCAAAGAGATCTCTAGACCGAGGTACTATAAAAAGTCATTATTTTTCAGGATCTGCCAGATTCTTACACTTCATTTCATGCATTTTGCCTCTAAAAGTCTAGACAACCACCTGCTTTTCAGTCTGCATTCACCAGTGAAAAATTAATATCCTTTATGCTGATGAACACTGGCGTATACTTAGATAAGTGTTTAAAGCATCTGCCTAGCCACCTGATCGAGGTGCTTCAAATACTATCTAACTTCCTCTCAGAAGAAGATTGAAGTTAAATTACACAGCACACATGAATTGCACGATTTATATTTAAAGTATTTTAAAGTAAATTATTGCATAATAAGTAACAATAAATTCTCCCATCTTTTGTATTACATTTTTAAAAATCTGATTGAAATGGACTATTGGCCTTCATCTGTTCTGTGCATTGAACACTTAAAGGCATGATGGGGCTGGGTTCAGTGGCTTACACTGTAATCCGAGCAGTTTGAGAGGCCAAGGCAAGGAGGATCACTTAAGGCCAGCAGTTCAAGACCAGCTTCAGCAGCATAGCAAAACCCTCCCCCCAACCCCACCCCCCATCTCTACTGTCAAAAGAAAAAAAAAAAAAAAGCATGATGGAATAGCTATTGGATCAGGTTACAAAAAGCAATTTTTAAAAATAAGCTAACATCTAAGAAACATCATTTTGCCTATACTCCCTCCCCCAAAATCCTGTTTTTACTCAGTGAACACCTAAGCCCACTGAGAAATGTTCTGGATTGTCATTTTTCTCACATCCTTTAGCACCTCCTTAGTTTTGGGGAGGAGCTCTGAAGGCCTTGCAAGAAGTGGGAGAGAAAAGGACCAGCGTGTGAACAGAAGTGACAATTTTATTGCAAATTAAACATTTTGTTACTAGTTCCTTGGTGAATCTCAATTGGGTTTTTATATTAGTAAGTTTGATTACAATTTTAGAGATGAAAAGTAATTTTAGAAACTAAAAATTGGGAGGCTGAGGTGGGCGGATCACCTGAGGTCGGGAGTTCGAGACCAGCCTGACCAACATGGAGAAATCCCATCTCTACTAAAAAAAAAATTACCCAAGCGTGGTGATGCATGCCTGTAATCCCAGCTACTTGGGAGGCTGAGGCAAGAGAATCGCTTCAACCTGGGAGGCGGAGGTTGCAGTAAGCCGAGATCACACCATTGCACTCCAGCCTGAGCAACAGAGCGAAACTCCCTCTCAAAAAAAAAAAAAGTAAAAAATACAAAAATTAGCTGGGTGTGGTGGTGCACGCTTGTAATCCCAGCTACTCTGGAGGCTGAGGCACGAGAATCTCTTGAACCTGGGATGTGGAGGTTGCAGTGAGCCGAGATTGCGCCACTGCACTCCAGCCCGGGTGACAGAGTGAGTCTGTCTCAAAAGAAAAAACTAATGCCAAGATTTATGAAGTTCAAAAGAAGTTTTAAATTTTCTGTTTAAAAATATACACAGGCCAGCCGCCGTGGCTCATGCCCCTAGTCCCAAAACTTTAGGAGTCCAAGGTGGGAGGATCGCTTGAGCCCAGTAGTTTGAGACAGTCTGGGTAACATATGGAGACCCTGTCTCTACAAAAATTAGAAAATTAGCCGGGCATGATGGCACATGTCTGTGGTCTCAATCACTTGAGAAGCTGAGGTGGGAGGGTCGCGTGAACCCAGAAGGTCGAGGTTGCAGTGAGCTGTGATTGTGCCACTGCACTCCAGCCTGAGTGACAGAGCCAGACCCTATCTAAACAACGACAACAAAAAAACCCCTAAAAATTAAAGTATACACTATAAAAGGACTGACGATCACTTTTGAATTACTGGATCTCTAAATACCTTGTGGAAGAGTAAAGGGAGAGGTTCAGAAGGCAAGGTGCTAATGTTGGAAGCAATAGAAAAATGAAGAGCCAGCATCTGCAGTTACACTTAGGTGGTTAAGTATCAGATTTGCCAGTAATTAACCATAGGAAGCTTGGTAAGTTAGTTGAGTTCTCTGTATCTGGTTATTTTCATTGCTAAGTGGGAGAATAATACTCATCTCATGGAGTTGTCTTTTTTTTTTTTTTTTTTTTTTGAGACAGAGTCTTGCTCTGTCACCAGGCTGGAGTGCAGTGGTGCCATCTCGGCTCACTGCAACCTCCACCTCCCAGGTTCAAGCGATTCCCCTGCCTCAGCCTCCCAAGTAGCTGGCACTACAGGTGCATGCCACCACGCCCAGCTAATTGTTTGTATTTTAATAGAGACAGGATTTCACCATGTCGGCCAGGCTAGTCTCGAACTCCTGACCTCGTGATCCGCCCACCTCGGCCTTCCAAAGTGTTGGGATTACAGGCGTAAGCCACCATGCCCGGCCCTCATGGAGTTGTCTTAATTATTAAGGTTGAATTAAATGAGTATAAAGTTTCTCAGTAATTTTTCAATAAATGTTAAAACTTTTGTGTTTAAGGCCGGGCATGGTGGCTCACGCCTGTAATCCCAGCACTTTGGGAGCCCGAGGCAGGTGGATCACCTGAGGCCAGGAGTTCAAGACCAGCCTGGTCAACATGGTAAAAACGCCATCTCTACTAAAAATACAAAAATCAGCTGGGCGTGGTGGCACACGTCTGTAGTCCCAGCTACTTGGGAAGCTGAGGCATGAGAATCTCTTGAATCTGAGAGGCAGAGGTTGCAGTGAACCAAGATCACACCACTGCACTCCAGCCTGGGCAATAAGAGTGAAATTCTGTCTCAAAAAAAAAAAAAAAAAAAAATTTGTATTTAGTTTGAGATACTTGTGGAAGACAGGGTCTCTGAAAGGCCAAAGAATGGCAGGAATCTGCCCCTGTAAGTGGGATCTTCACTGTCATTAGTCTTTTTTTTTTAAGATGCCCATTCTAGGTAGTATTATACCAAGCAAGCTAATGGATGTGAACTGTTTTCTTCAGGGCAGTATTGCAAGTTTAGAATTTGTACTCATTGAGTTGCTACCATATTACCATTTCACAATCACTTCCCTTTCCATTTCTCCCAAAATGTTTTCTTTCCAAAAAGAATTTTATTTTTATTTTCACATATTTGGAGGCTTTTTTTTTTTGACAGCCTGTGACACAATTAGAGTTACCTTGTTGGCTGCAAATATAGGGATGCTTAACTGCTTTTCCAGAAGTTAGTGGACACTGGCCAGCCTCCAGGAGGTGCTACAGGAAGCTGGGGCAGTGAGAAGTTTCTAAAGCAGTTTCCAAGAGGACCGTGAAGCACATCTCGTTCAGCTGCGTCTAATGATTCCTTCTCCTCCGTAAGTGCAGCTGCCTTACCAGAAGGTGTTATCAAAAAAGAGAGGGGGTCAGGCACGGTGGCTCACACCTGTAATCCCAACACTCTAGGAGGCCAACGCGGGTGGATCACTTTAAGGTCAGGAGTTCCAGAGCAGCCTGA